CAGGTGAGGGTTCCTTCTGGGAGCTCAGGGCCTCTTGATTCCCAGGGTGACCAGGCCCAACAGGGCAAAGATAATGAGCTATCCATCCTTGAAGATAGTGGAGACTTGATTAGACAGGACCGTTTACAATTAAGAGTTTGCAGAAGCAAACGCCTTGCCGACAAACGTGAAGCTAGAGGTCAATGTAATGCTTTCATGTTGGGAAAACATATTTAATGATCCGATCGAAGGGCATTCTTTGTCAGTCCAATGTCGCTTTTACCCTTTTAACTTCTGTGGAATTACCTTGGCTTTTGCGGAAAGCTTCTGGCTCCTTGGGACTTGGGAAAACATATTTAATGATCTGAAGGGCATTCTTTGTCAGTCCAATGTCGCTTTTACCTTGTTAACTTCTGTGGAATTACCTTGGTGAATCTATCCCGAGTTGCGACACTCTCCCAGCGGTTTCATGTAGATGTTAAAAAGCATGGGGGACAGAATGGATCCTTGCAGGACCCCATAGGTCAATGGCCAGGGGTCTGAGCAGGAGTCCCCCAGCTTCACTGACTGGGAACGACCCTCCAGGAAGGACTGGAGGCACAGGAGAACCATACCCCCAAGTCCCATCCAGTGAGTCTCTCCAGAAGGATACCATGGTCGATGATATCGAAAGCCGCTGAGATATCAAAGAGAACGAGCAGGGTCACACTCCCCCTGACCCGTTCCCCGCAGAGGTCATCCACCAAGGCCACCAAAGCCATCTCGGTACTGTGCCCAGCACATCAAGCGTCAGTGTTGAGTCCAGGAGGACTCCCAAACTACAGACCTGTGACTTCAGGGGGAGTGCAACCCCGTCCAGTACAGGTTGCCACCCAATACCCCAGTCAGACGGGCGACTGACCTGGAGGACCTCTGTCTTGTCAGCTTGTTCGTCCTCATCCAGATTGTCACAGTGGCCAGGTACTGGTCCAGTATCCCCGGGGCTTCCTTGGAGTCTGGTGGAAATGAGTAGTGGAGTTGGGTGTCATCTGCGTAGAGATGACACCGTACTCCAAAACTCCGGATGACCTCTCCCAGCGGTTTCATGTAGATGTTTAAAAGCATGGGGGACAGAATGGATCCTTGTGGGACTCCACAGGTCAATGGCCAGGCGGGCGACTGACCTGGAGGACCTCTGTCTTGTCAGCTTGTTCGTCCTCATCCAGATCGTCACAGCGGCCAGGCACTGGTGGAAATAAGCAGTAGAGTTGGGCGCCATCTGCGTAGAGGTGGCACCGTACTCCAAACCTCTGGATGACCTCTCTGTTGTGGTTCACTCTCAGCCTGAGCTTTCTGAGCCTGAGTTTCCTCAGGACGAGGAGGATGATGGGTTACAGATTTCTGAACATGTTGCGGTTAGTGAGTTGTAATTTCAGGGCCGTCTTCAAGGGTAGCCCCACGTAGAGTGCATTGCAGTAGTCTAGTCTAGAGGTAACTAAGGCATGGACCACCGTGGTCAAGTCAGACTTCACGAGGTATGGTCGTAGTTGGTGCACGAGCTTTGATTGTGCGAAGGCCCACCCGGACACCGCCGACACCTGCGCCGAGTCCAGGAGGACTCCCAAACTACAGACCTGTCACTTCAAGGTAAGTGCGACCCCGTCCAGTACAGGTTGTCCAGGTCAGACGGGCGACTGACCTGGAGGACCTCTGTCTTGTCAGCTTGTTCGTCCTCATCCCGATCGTCACAGCGGCCAGGCACTGGTGGAAATGAGTAGCGGGAGTTCTGATCTCTAATGCTAAGCAGGGTCGGCCCCGGTTCAGATTTGGATGGGAGTCCGCCAGTGGATAGTAGTTCAGAGGCAGAACTACCATAAGGATTCCTTGCCGAAGAGGAAACCCTTGGTCGAAATGCACTAAATGCACCTGGATCCCTTCTGATCTCTAATGCTAAGCAGGGTTGGCCCTGGTTCGGATTTGGATGGGAGTCCGGCGGCGGATACTAGGTCGGAGGCAGAAGTATCATAAGGATTCCTTATTATTTTATACGATATTATTATTATTATTATTATTATTATTATTATTATTATTATTATCATTTGAAATGCACTAAATGCACCTGATCCCTTCTGATCTCTAATGCTAAGCCAGGTCGGCCCCGGTTCGGATTTGGATGGGAGTCCGCTGGCGGGTACTAGGTCGGAGGCAGAACTGTCATAAGGATTCCTTACTATTTTATATGATATTAATATTAATATTATTATTCGAAATGCACTAAATGCATCTGATCCCTTCTGAGCTCTAATGCTAAGCCGGGTCTGACCCGGTTCGGATTTGGATGGGATAATAATAATTATTATTATTAGTAGTAGTATATAGCAAATGGGTTTTAATTCCTCAAAGCCAATGCATGCAACAGATGATTTGACAGGATATATTATTAGTAGTAGTACTAGTGGTAGTAATAGTAGCAGTATAGTATATATTACATTATTTTATATGATATGATGATGATGATGATGATGATTATTATTATTATTAAGAAATGGGTTTTAATAATTCAAAGGCCATGCATCCAACAGGTGACTTGACAGGATATATTATTATTATTATTATTATTATTATTATTATTATTATTATATTAGTAGATATTATACTATTATTTTATATATTATTATTATTATTATTATTATTATTTAGCAAGTGGGTGTTAATACCTTAGAGGCCGTGCATTTAAAAGGCTACTTGACATGATATTATATTATAATTATTATTATTATTATTATTTAGCAAATGGGTTTTAACACCTTAAAGGCCATGCATTCAACAGGCAACTTGACAGTATATATCATTATTATTATTATATTATATTAGTATATATTAGTATATATTATATAATAATAATAATAATTTAGCAAATGGGTTTTAATACCTTAAAGGCCATGCATTCAACAGGTGTCTTGACAGGATATATCATTATTATATTATATTGTATTAGTATATGTTATATTATTTTATATTATTATTATTATTATTATTATTATTATTATTATTATTTAGCAAATGGGTTTTAATACCTTAAAGACCATGCATTCAACAGGTGACTTAATAGGATTTATTATTATTATTATTATTATTATTATTATATTAGTAGATATTATACTATTATTTTATATGATATTATTATATTAGTATATAGGATAGTATTAGTATATATGATATTATTATTTTATATGCTATTATTAGTTAGCAAATGGGTTTTAATACCTTAAAGGCCATGCATTCAACAGGTGACTTGACAGTATATATCATTATTATATTATATTAGTATATATTATTATATATAATAATAATAGTAATAATAATAATAATAATAATAATAATTATTATTATTATTATTATTATTATTATTTAGCAAATGGGTTTTAATACCTTAAAGGCCATGCATTCAACAGGTGACTTGACAGGATATATCATTATTATATTATATTAGTATATATTATATTAGTATATATTATTTTATATTATTATTATTATTATTATTTAGCAAATGGGTTTTAATACCAGGTATCCTTTTTTTGCTCCTTCTTCCAAAATATCTCCGAAGGCCCTGAAAAACATACACCGCCAATCAAGCTCGATCCGAGATACGTCGACACGCCTGGTTTGCGTGTAGAGGGGAGAGGCCCGGGCGGATGCCCAACGGGGAAGAGAAACCGAAACATTTCTGGGAGAAGCCCCACTCATAATTTGCAAAGCGTCGCAAGGGAAACCGGGCGCGATGTCTTAATTACGGGGTGGCACAGAGCGCTTTCTTTGCCGAGAGGGCGAAACCTTTGCAAAGCCTTCGGGAAACGTGAGACCGAGAAAGGGAGATGGTTGAAAGCCATAGAATTCACGTACGCTGACGATACCGCAGTCTTTGCCCATTTGGAGGAAGAGCTGCAAGCTACAGCTTGACGGCGTAATGCTGGGAAATTATCAACATGGGTTTAGACTTGTTTCATCCCCGTCTTAGTTCTAGAAACCTATATCCAAACACAATTCTCACTGTAACCTATATTATTTTAAATGTATTTGTTATTTTATACACATACAATATATATATGTATATATTTATTATAACATATATTAATTGTATATTAAATGAACATTTATATAGTATTAAATAACCTATATTATTTTAAATGTATATATTTCTATTATTGCATTATATATTTTATGATATTTCTTATTATTATTTTCTATTATTGAATTTTCTATTTTAATATTATATTTCCTATTATATATTTTAATATTACATTTCCTATTATTTTCTATTATTGCTATATTTTTATATTATATTTTATATTATTGCAATATATATTTTAATATTATATTTCCTATTATTGCATTTTCTATTTTAATATTATATTTCCTGTTACTTTCTATTATTGCAATATATATTTTAATATTATATTTCCTATTATTAATTTCTATTTTAATATTATATTTCCTATTATTTTCTATTATTGCATTTTATATTTTAATATATTTCCTATTATTTTCTATTTTTGCAATATATATTTTATTATATTTCCTATTATTATTTTCTATTATTGCATTTTCTATTTTAATATTATACTTCCTGTTATTTTCTATTATTGCAATATATATTTTAATATTACATTTCCTATTATTGCATTTCCTATTTTAATATTATATTTCCTATTATTAATTTCTATTTTAATATTTTATTTCCTATTATTATTATTTTCTAATATTATTTCCTCTCTCTCTCTCTCTCTCTCTATATATATATATAGGAAATAATATTAGAAATGAATAATAATAATAGGAAATATAATATTAAAATAATATTAAAATATAACATTACAATTTGCCTATGTTTTTTGTCCATATGCATGTATGTACACACATGGCCATATAACAATATATGCAATATATATATTGTATACTCATATACATATGAGTATATGGACATACTCATATGTATTTCATATTATGGGATGTATCTGCGTCGGAATAAAAAAAAATGCTGATTTCCGTTCTCAATTATTTATTTTATTGCAAAACCACATCGATGAGGATATATACAGGGTTAAAGTGCCGTCCGGACGTCGGCCGGAAATGTGCAAAAAAAAATTCCCAGGAGATTCGGAAGGGAGCCCAAGAGGCACCACCTGAACCCTCCTGGCAGATGGCCATTCAAGCTGGAGTCTCTTTGCTCTTTGGGGAGCTACCAAGGCCTCCACAAAGGTGCCGGCGGCTGGGCGGTGGGCAGCGGCGGAGGACTGGCCGTCCACGCATGGGGGTCGCAGGCCGTGCAGAGGTGCGCCAAGAGGTCGCGGCAGGCGCATTCGGGGAGCAGGAGCGAGAGGCGAGAGAGGCACGCGTGGAAGCCCAACTGGAAGGCCCCGTCGTCGTTGGCCCCGCCTGCGGGTCACAAACATCGTAGCATGTCATATGAAATCTGTTGGTGTACCGTCCACCCCGCTGCTCAACAGTCTCCCTGCCTGAGTGAGCTGGTGTGGTCTCAGGTCTGGTGTTGAAGTCCCAACATCTAGTTGTGCTAGGTGACTTCAACATCCATGCCGAGACTGCCCTGTCTATAATCTATACCATGAATCATCATATCATACCATATACCATAATAATGTAATAGAATATCATATACCACATATGGTATATATATCATATGGTATGTATAATCTATACCATATATAATATATACCATATGGTATATATAATCTATACCATAAGTCATCATATCATACCATATATCATAATAGTGTAATAGAATATCATATACCACAATAGCATTACATCATATGGTATATATAATATATACCATAAATCATCATATCATAATACTGTAATATCCATAATACTGTAATAGCATACCATATGCCATAATACTGTAATAGAATATCATATACCACAAGAGTGTTACATCATATGGTATATATAATCTACACCATAAATCATCATATCATACCATGTACCATAATCGCGTAATAAGGTATCATATGCCACAATAGCGTTACATCATATGGTATATATAATCTATACCATAAATCATCGTATCATACCATATATCATAATACTGTTATATCATACCATATACCATAATAATGTAATAGAATGTCATATACCACAAGAGCGTAACATCATATGGTATATATTGTCTATACCATAAATCATCATATCATACCATATACCATAATAGCGTAATAGAATATCATATACCACATATGGTATATATATCATATGGTATGCATAATCTATACCATAAATCATTATATCATACTATATACCATAATACTGTTATATCATACTATATACCATAATAGCGTAATAGAATATCATATACCACAATATCATTACATCATATTGTATATATAACATATACCATAAGTCATCATATCATACCATATATCATAATAGTGCAATATCAGGCCATATATCGTAATAGCATATCATATACCACAAGAGCATAGTATCGTATCCTATACCATAATAACATGATATAGGATATACCATAATATTGCAGTAGCATAAAAAATATATACCACAATATTACGTAATACTAATACATTAAATATTAAAAATTAATATCAAAAATATTTAAAACATTTTAAAAGTAATAGAATATCATATACCACAAGAGCGTAATATCGTATCCTATACCATAATAGCATGATGTCGGATATACCAAATAGTGTAGTAGCATATTATATACCGTAATAGGGTGATAACCATATATTATTGTCATATCATAAACATAATAGTGTGGAAAGCACATACCATTACAGCGCAATATATAATGTACCATAAGAGTGTAATATATCATACACCATAATACTGTAAGAGTATAATATATCATATGCCTTAACAGCGTAATATATCATATACCACAAGAGCGCAATATCGTATCCTATATCATAATAGCATGATATAGGATATACCATAATATTTTATTTATTTATTTCCTATATTTATACCCCACCCGTATATACTATATATATACACACACACTATATATATACCATATAGTATATAGTATAGTATATGTATACAATATATATAGTATAGTATAGTATATGTATACAATATATATATACTATACTATATAGTATAGTGTATATATATACAATATAGCATAGTGTATACATATATATATATATATATATATATATACACACAATAATGTAGTAGCATTTCATATATCATAATAGGGTGATATCATATATCATAATATTTCCATATCATAAATTGTAATAGCGCAAGAGCATACCCTATACCATAACAGTGTAATACCATTTCATACACCATAATAGCATATGTCATAATAGTGTAATATATTGTAACATATCCTATACCATAATAGCAGAATAGCATAATAGTGTAATATATGTAATCCATAACACGATAGCGCAATATATGTAATCCATAACACGATAGCGCAATATATGTAATCCATAACACGATAGCGCAATATATGTAATCCATAACACGATAGCGCAATATATGTAATCCATATAATCCATAACATAATAGTGCAATATATATTATCCATAACATAATATTGTAACAAATATAATCCATAACAGCATATCATATAATAGCATAATATCATATACCATAACAGCGTACAAACATGATATACCATAATATATATAATGTACCATAAGAAAGTAATATATCATACACCTTAATAATGTAAAATGTACCATAGTAGCATAATATACCATATGCCATAACAGTGTAATATATTGTAGCATATCATATACAATAATAGCATAGTTTCATATATACCATAATACCGTAATATATCATATACCACAATAACATATCATATACCATAATAGCGTAATAGCAGATCATATACCATAATAGCGTAATATATCCTATACCATAATAATATATCATAGACCGTCATAGTATAATATACCATAATAGCATAATACATGATAGTATATCATATACCATAATAGAGAACTAGCAGATCATATACCATCATAGCATAATACATAGAATCATAGAATCAAAGAGTTGGAAGAGACCTCATGGGCCATCCATGATTTGAATATTGCATTCAAATCACCCCTGACAGGTGGCCATCCAGCCTCTGTTTAAAAGCTTCCAAAAAAGCTCCCTCCACCACACTCCGGGGCAGAGAGTTCCAATGCTGAACGGCTCTCACTCCGAAATGACTTCCCTGCAGGTGTTGGCTATTTGTTTGAATTCTTCTTTGGTGATTTCTCCCTTTTTTCACTTCTTGTGCATGTCTCTTTTGTGTTTTATCACAGTTAGAAGTTCTTTGGACATCCATTCTGGCTTCTTTGCACTTGTCCTATTTTTTTCTCTTTGTTGGCACAGTTTGCAATTGCACCTTGAGTATTTCACCCTTGACACACACATAATAGCATATCATATACCATAACAAAATAATAGCAGATCATATACCATCATAGCTTAACATATACCATAATAATATATCTTAGATCGTCATAGCATAATATACCATAATAGTGTAATACATAATATCATATACCATAACAGAGTAATAGCAAATCATATACCATCATAGCGTAGTATATCACATACAACAACATATCATAATAGATTATATACCATAATAGCATATCATATATAATAGTAATATATGATATACCATAACAGCAGAATATATGATATTCCAAACTTAGACTATTATTATTATTATTATTATTATTATTATTATTATTATTAGGGGTCACTCACCGGAGGCCGAGGGAGGGGCCGGAAGGTCTTGCAGGAACTGGACGGTCATCTCGAGGATGTCGGCCTTCTCCAGCTTGGAAAAGCGGGAGCCCTGCAGCAGAGACACCCAAGGTTATCACACCCAGAATCCCCCATTTTTAATTATTACTACTATTATTATCACTATTACAACTACTATCATAATTATTACTATCCACATTACAATTATTATTACTATTATTATTACAGTTATCACTACTGCAACTACTATAATCACTGCAATTACTACTATTATAACTACTATTATTGCTATAATTATTACTACCACTATTGTTACTATTGCAATCATTATTACTACTGCTATAATCATTCTGCTAGTACTATCCCTGCTATTATACTTACTATAATTATTACTATTATTACTGTTGCAATCATTGCTACTATTGCTATTACTACTACTTTTACGATAGCAATTATTATTACTACTGTTACTACTGCAATGATTACTACTATTCCAATCATGGCTCCTGTTGCTATGGCTACTATTGTAACTTCTGCAGTTACTATTGCATTATTACCACTGTTACTATTATTGTTACTATTGCATTCATTATTCCTGGTATTATTACAATTATTATTACTATTGCAGTCATTGCTTCTAATATTACTATTGCAATTGATATTGCTGCTACTATTATTGCAACGGTTGCTAACAGTCACAACGATTTCAACCACGGTTACAACTATCCGTGACCTGGCCACGACTACCCGAGACCTGCCCGTGACTATCGAAAACTTGTCCCGCTCTCGACTACCCGAGACCCACCCGCGACGACCTGAGACCCGCCCGTGACTACCCACGACTACCGAAGACTCGTCCTGCTCACGACTACCCGAGACCCACCTGCGACTACCCGCAACTACAAAAGATTCATCCCGCCCGCGACTACCCGAGACCTGCCCGTGACTACCGAAGACTCGTCCCACTCACGACTACCCAAGACCCACCTGCGACTACCCACAACTACTGAAAACTTGTCCCGCCCACGACTACCCGAGACCTGCCCACGACTACCGAAGACTCGTCCCGCTCATGACTACCCGAGACCCACCTGCGACTACCAAAGACTCGTCCCGCTCACGACTACCCGAGACCCGCCCTTGACTACCTGAGACTCGCCCACGACTACCCGTGACGACCGAAGACTCGTCCCGCCCACGACTACCGAAGACTCATCTCGCTCGCGACTCCTGAAGACTCGTCCCGCTCGCGACTACCGAAGCCCTGCCCGCAACTACTCGAGACCTGCCCATGACTACCGAAGACTCATCCCGCCCGTGACTACCCAAGACCCACCTGTGACTACCCGAGACCTGCTTGCGACTCCCAAAGCCCGGCTCGCGACTAAAGAAGCCCCGTCCGCGACTACCCGAGACCTGCCCACGACTACCGGACTCGTCCCGCTCATGACTACCCGAGACCCACCTGCGACTACCAAAGACTCGTCCGTTCACGACTGCCCGAGACCCGCCCGCGACTACCTGAGACTCGCCCACGACTACCAAAGACTCGTCCCGCCCATGACTACTGAAGACTCATCCCGCTCGCGACTACTGAAGCCCCATCCGCGTCTACCCAAGACCTGCCCATGACTACCCAAGACTCGTCCCACCTGCGACTACCCAAGACCCGCCTGCGACTACCCGAGACCCGCCTGTGACTACCCGAGATCCGCTCGTGACTATTAAAGCCCCGCTCGCAACTACCGAAGACTCGTCCTGCTCACGACTACCTGAGACCCGCCCTGCTCTTGACTACCTGAGACCTGCCCGCGACTACCAAAGACTCGTCCTGCCCGCGACTACCCAAGACCCGCCCACAACTATCAAAGACTCGTCCCCCCCATGACTACCTGAGACCCACTTGCGACTACCAAAGCCCCACTTGCAACTACCAAAGACTCGTCCCGTTCATGACTACTGAAGCCCCACCCGCAACTACCGAGACCCGCTCGCGACTACCGGAGATCTGCCTGCGACTACCGAAGACTCGTCCCACTCACGACTACCTTAGCCCCGCCTGCGACTACTGAAACCCCGTTCGTGACTTGCAACTATTTCAATCACTATTGCAACGATTGCAACTACTATTATAATTACTACTACTATTATTCCAATTATGATATACTTTGTATTACTGTTAATAATACCCCCTCCTTTTTCCTCCCTCAAAGGAGGCCAGCACTTTAAGGACTACCACTCCCAGCATCCCCAATCGACCGCATTGCATTAAAATACAGACTGCTGGACCCATAATGCCTTCCAGAGTATGAACAATGAAGACTACAACACCCATTCTCCCGCCAAGGAAAGAAAACCCATAGGCACCCATAGGACCTCCTTTTGAAGGGGATGATGGGATGTGTAGTCCTCACTTACATCTTTCCCAACCAAAGGCAGGATGAGTCCCTTGAGCTGGTTGAGGCTCTCGTTGATCCTGGCCCGGCGCCTCTTCTCCATTAATGGTTTCAGACTCTGAAGGGGAAAGAAAGGAAAAATCTTAATTCATTTTTCAAAAATTTTCAATTAATTTTAATTTTAAAATTAATTAATTAATTTTCTAATTAAAAAATTAAAAATTAAATTAAAATGTAATTGAATCAAAATTAATTATTTTATATTGTTTTTTAAATTGAAATAATTTATTCATTTTCTAATTTTTAAAAAAATGAATTTAAAAATTGAATTAAAAATGAATTAAAAGGTCTAAAATGGAATTAAATCGAAATTAATTAATTTTGTATTGTTTTTTACATTAAAAAATTAATTCATTCTCTAATTTTTAAATTAATTATTTAAATTGAATTAAAACGGAATTAAATTAAAATAGCTAAAATGTCATGAAATTGAAGTTAATTAATTTTATATTGTTTTTTAAATTTAAAAAATTAATTAATTTTCTAATTTTTTAATTTAAAAAAATTAAATTAAAAACGAATTAAATTAAAATGGCTAAAATGTCATGGAATTGAAGTTAATTAATTATATTTTGGTTTTTTTAATTTAAAAAATGACTTGATAATTTTTAAATTAATTTTTTAATATTGCATTAAAAATTGATCCATTTTATAATTTTAATTTTTTTAAAAAAAATTGAATTAAAATTAAATTAAAATCGCTAAAATGCGATGAAATTGAAATTAATTTACTTTATATTGTTTTTTAAATTTAAAAAATGACTTAATTTTATAATTTTTTAATTATTTTTTTTAAATGAATTAAAAATTAATTAAAATTACTGAAAATAAATTATATATATATATATAACTTTCAATCTATATAATTTTTTCAATTATATATATATATTATAGAAAAAAATACTAAAAATTACTAAAATTAATTAAATTAAATATATAACTTTCAATCTATATATTTTTTCATATATATATATATTATTGAAAAATTACTAAAAATTAATTAAATTAAATATATATATATAACTTTCAATATATAATTTTTTCAATAATATATATATATACATATTCCTGAAAAAATTACTAAAAATTACTAAAAATTAATTAAATTAAATATATATATATATAACTTTCAATCTATATAATTTTTTCAATAATATATATATAGAAAAAATTACTAAAAATTACTAAAAATTAATTAAATTATATATATATCTTTCAATCTATATATTTTTTTCAATAATATATATATATATTCTTGAAAAATTACTAAAAATTACTAAAAATAATTAAATTATATATATATATATATAATTTTTAATC